GCACGTCCAGCTTTTCTAAATAGTCCCGAACCACCTCTTTCTCCACAGAGGGCTGGCCATCTATTCCCCATGTTGTGATGCCCAGCGCAGCAGTCTGGGAGCTGACCTTGTTAGTGAAGACAGAGGCAAAAAAAGCATTGAGTACATTAGCTTTTTCCACATCCTCTGTCACTAGGTTGCCTCCCTCATTCATTAAGGGGCCCACACTTTCCTTGGCTTTCTTCTTGTTGCCAACATACCTGAAGAAACCCTTCTTGTTACTCTTAACATCTCTCGCTAGCTGCAGCTCCAGGTGCGATTTGGCCCTCCTGATTTCATTCCTCCATGCCCAAGCAATATTTTTATACTCTTCCCTGGTCATATGTCCAACCTTCCACTTCTTGTAAGCTTCTTTTTTATGTTTAAGATCCGCTAGGATTTCACCGTTAAGCCAAGCTGGTCGCCTGCCATATTTACTATTCTTTCGACACATCGGGATGGTTTGTCCCTGTAACCTCAACAGGGATTCCTTGAAATACAGCCAGCTCTCCTGAACTCCTTTCCCCTTCATAGAATCATAGAATATAAGGGTTGGAAGGGACCCCAGAAGGTCATCTAGTCCAACCCCCTGCTCGAAGCAGGACCAATTCCCAGTTAAATCATCCCAGCCAGGGCTTTGTCAAGCCTGACCTTAAAAACCTCTAAGGAAGGAGATTCTACCACCTCCCTAGGTAACGCATTCCAGTGTTTCACCACCCTCTTAATGAAAAAGTTTGAGTGAAAAACTTCATGATAGTCCCCCAGGGGATCCTACCCATCCGTTCCCTGAGGGAGTCGAAGTCTGCTTTTCTGAAGTCCAGGGTCCATATCGTGCTGCTTACCTTTCTTCCCTGTGTCAGGATCCTGAACTCAACCATCTCATGGTCACTGCCTCCCAGATTCCCATCCACTTTTGTTTCCCCTACTAATTCTTCCCGGTTTGTGAGCAGCAGGCCAAGAAAAGCTCCCCCCCAGTTGGCTCCTCTAGCACTTGCACCAGGAAATTGTCCCCTACATGTTCCAAAAACTTCCTGGATTGTCTATGCACCGCTGTATTGCTCTCCCAGCAGATATCAGGAAAATTAAAGTCACCCATGAGAACCAGGGCATGCGATCTGGTAGCTTCTACGAGCTGCCGGAAGAAAGCCTCATCCACCTCATCCCCCTGGTCCGGTGGTCTATAGCAGACTCCCACCACTACATCACTCTTGTTGCTCACACTTCTAAACTTAATCCAGAGAAATTTCTGCAGTTTCGTACCGGAGCTCTGAGCAGTCATACTGCTCCCTTACATACAGTGCTACTCCCCCACCTTTTCTGCCCTGCCTGTCCTTCCTGAACAGGTTATAACCATCCATGACAGTACTCCAGTCATGTGAGTTATCCCACCAAGTCTCTGTTATTCCAATCACGTCATAATTCCTTGACATCACCAGGACCTCCAGTTCTCCCTGCTTGTTTCCAAGGCTTTGTGCATTTGTATATAAGCACTTGAGATAACCTGCTGATCGCCCCTCATTCTCAGTATGAGGCAGGAGCCCTCCCCTCACAGACATTCCTGCCTGTGCTTCCTCCCGGTATCCCGCTTTCCCACTTACCTCAGGGCTTTGGTCTCCTTCCCCCGGTGAACCTAGTTTAAAGCCCTCCTCACTAGGTTAGCCAGCCTGCTCGCAAAGATGCTCTTCCCTCTGTTCGTAAGGTGGAGCCCATCTCTGCCCAACACTCCTCCTTCATGGAAGACCATCCCATGGTCAAAGAATCCAAAGCCTTCTCTCCGACACCACCTGCGTAGCCATTTGTTGACTTCCACGATTCAACGGTCCCTACCCAGGCCTTTTCCTTCCACGGGGAGGATGGACGAGAACACCACTTGCGCCTCAAACTCCTTTATCCTTCTTCCCAGAGCCACGTCTGGGGAAATCTGCTTCACTACTGAGCCTTATTATTTACAAAAGTTCTAGCATCATAGTAATGTGGAAACAAACAAACAAAAACCCAGCCAACCTTCCCATCTGCAAACAATCCCATCTCAGTAGGAAAAGTCCTACAACAGGTTGGTGGTGATTGGACATCTAACATAGTGAATGCCAGTGAAAATGAGGTAGGATTAGAGTCTAAAATAGGGAAAGAAGTCAAAAATTACTTAGACAAGTTAGATGTCTTCATATCACCAGGGCCTGATGTCATGCATCCTAGAATACTCAAGGAACTGACTGGGGAGATATCTGAGCCATTAGCAATTGTCTTTGAAAAGTCATGGAACACGGGAGACATTCCAGAAGACTGGAAAAGGGCAAATATAGTTCCCATCTATAAAAAGGGAAATAAGGACAACCCGGGGAATTACAGACCAGTCAGCTTAACTTCTATACCTGGAAAGATGATAGAGCAAATAATTAAGAAATCAATTTGAAAACACGTAGAAGATAATGAGGTGATAAGTAACCATCAGCATGGATTTGTCAAGAACAAATTGTGTCAAACCAAGCTGATAGCTTTCTTTGACAGGGTAACAAGCCTTGTGGAAAGGGAGGTAGCAGTAGATGTGGTATATCTTGACTTTAGTAAGGCTTTTGATCCTGTATCGCATGACCTTCTCATAAACAAACTAGGGAAATACAACCTCGATGGAGCTACTATAAGGTGGGTGCATAAGGTTGGAAAATCATTCCCAGAGAGTAGTTATCAGTAGTTCACAGTTATGCTGGAATTGCATAACAAGTGTGGTCCCCCAGGGATCGGTTCAATAGCTTCATCAATTATTTAGATAATGGCATAGAGAGTACACTTATAAAGTTTGCGGATAATACCAAACTGGGAGGGCTTGCACGTGCTTTGGAAGAACTAGATTATAATTCAAAATGATCTGGACAAACTGGAGAAATGGTCTGAAGTAAATAGGATGAAATTCAATAAAGACAAATACAGAGTACTCCACTTAGGAAGGAACAATCAGTTGTACACATACAAAATGGGAAATGACTGCCTAGGAAGGAGTACTGTGGAAAGGGATCTGGGGGTCATAGTGGATCACAAGCTAAATATGATTCAACAGTGTAACACTGTTGCAAAAAAAGCAAACATTATTCTGGGATGTAGTAGCAGGGGTATTGTAAGCAAGACATGAGAAGTAATTCTTCCTTCTACTCTGCGCTGATTAGGCCTCAACTGGAGTATTGTGTCCAGTTCTGGGCACCACGTTTCAGGAAAGATGTGGACAAACTGGAGAAAGTCCAGAGAAGAGCAACAAAAATGATTAAAGGTCTAGAAAACATGATCTATGATGGAAGATTGAAAAAAATGGGTTTGTTTAGTCTGGAGAAGAGAAGACTGAGAGGGGACATGATAACAGTTTTCAAGTACATAAAAGGTTGTTACAAGGAGGAGGGAGAAAAATTGTTCTTCTTAACCTCTGAGGACAGGGCAAGAAGCAATGGGTTTAAATTGCAGCAAGGGTGGTTTAGGTTGGATATTGGGAAAAACTTCCTAACTGTCAGAGTGGTTAAGCACTGGAATAAACTGCCTAGGGAGGTTATGGAATCTCCATCATTGGGGATTTTTAAGAGCAGATTGGACAAACACCTGTCAGGGATGGTCTAGATAATACTTAGTCCTGCCTTGAGTGCAGGGGACTGGACCAGATGACCTCTCAAGGTCCCTTCCAGTTCTATGATTCTAACATGCTTTGCCAACAATTGGAAACTGGGATTTAAACAACAAATGATCTCACTGTGTTTGAGAGCCATTCAAATTCCCCTTCCAGCTCTGTGACACTTTCATCTCAGGCCCTAAATTACTGTTTTGGGATCAAAGAAAACAAAGTGTGATCCCCAAGCAGAGGGCTGAGAACCCTGAATCATATGACACATTAAGTAGAAGAGGTGCAGAAGATAAATTCTACATGGCTCAAACAATGGAAATGTTGATGGGCTAATCTGGAAGGTCGGACTCCCTCTAACTCACCACTTCTTCAGGTATCACAGAAGCTGAAAAAACACTTCCCCCCATCCCTACTCCTTGTCTTTGTTATATTTAAATATATTTAAAATGAGAAAAATGGTATAAAGCCCAACTGCTGTTCAGCACAAACCAGTGCAATGTGAGAAAACCTGGGAATGAGACAATTTGTCCCTGGTGGGGAACCTGGTGACTAACAATCACTTTGCAGTGGGAGGAAAGGTATAAATGTGATGTTCTTAATTTGGTTAGACTAGGAGAAGTGATGGAGGTTGTGTCAGATTGTGAGGAATTTGCTACATTACCCTGACTGTTATACATAGGTTATTTTCTTTACTGAAAAAATAGTTGTGGTTTTACATCAGGATCACTAACTTAATTTAGCTAACTCCATGGAAAACCTAGTGGAGTCAAAGCGCAGGTAGATTTAACCTCCATGTACCTGGTAGAGGTCATTCCTGGTTCCCCCACCTGGGGCTGATGGACATTCATGTTGGAGGAAAACACACTTCCATGACACAGGACAAAGGAGTTGATTAAAAATACTGTGGGATTCACCAGGGCCGGATTTCCAATTAGGCACAGTAGGAGTATACCTAGGGGCTCCAGTGTTCTAGGGGCGCCTTACCTCTCTAAAACTGTGTGCAACATGAAGGTCAACTGTAGGCAGGGTGGGCACTGAAGATGCTGTGCCTAGAAGTGTGTAAGATGTAAATCCAGCCCTGGGATTCACTCCAAGAAAGGGTGAGCTGCAAAAGGGAAAAGCAGACAACTCAGCCGGGGGAGCTGAGATACCACAGTGTCACAAATGCTGCCTTAAAACTCACTATGTGGGAATTAGCAAAAGGAAAACAAAAATCTTTCCTCAGCCATATACAAGGGTTTTAAAGTGTTTATCTCCCTTGCAGCTTCTCTGATTATAAAAAAGGGCTGAGTTCTGATAGAAGAATTTCCCACACTGTATGGATGCTCTGATGTGTAATAAGGTTCGAGCTCTGAGCAAAGGTTTTCCTGCACTCACAGCATCCATACAGTCATTCTTGAATATGACTTCTCCGATGTCTACTAAGGTGTGAGTTCCGAGCGAAGGTTTTCCCGCACTCACAGCATTCATAGGGTTTCTCCCCTGTGTGGATCCTCCTGTGTGTAATAAGGTTTGAGCTCCAAGCAAAGGTTTTCCCACACTCACAGCATTCATAGGGTTTCTCCCCTGTGTGGATCCTCTGATGTTCAGTAAGGGTTGAGCACTGAGGGAAGGTTTTCCCACACTCACAGCATTCATAGGGTTTCTCCCCTGTGTGGATTCTCTGATGTCTTATAAGGTCTGCAGACAGAGTGAAGGTTTTCCCACACTCACAGCATTCATAGGGTTTCTCCCCTCTGTGGATCCTCTGATGTGTAACAAGAGTGGAACGCCAAGCAAAGGTTTTCCCGCACTCACAGCATTCATAGGGTTTCTCCCCGGTGTGGATCCTCTGATGTTCAATAAGGGTTGAGGGCTTAGTGAAGGTTTTCTGGCACTCACAGCATTCATAGGGTTTCTCCCCTGTGTGGATTCTCTGATGTTTAATAAGGGTTGAGCTATTAGTGAAGGTTTTCCCACATTCACAGCAGGGTTTCTCCCCTGTGTGGATCTTCTGATGTCTAGTAAGGTTTGAGTTCCAAGCAAAGGTTTTCCCGCACTCACAGCATACATAGGGTTTCTCCCCCGTGTGGCTCCTCTGATGTGTAATAAGGTTTGAGCTCTGTGTGAAGGTTTTCCCACACTGACAGCATTTATAAGGTTTCTCCCCTGTGTGGATTCTCTGATGGTTAATAAAGACTGAGCTCCGAGCGAAGGTTTTCCCACACTCACAGCATTTGTAGGGTTTCTCCCCCCTGTGGCTCCTCTGATGTTTAATAAAGTGTGAGCTTTGAGTGAAGGTTTTCCCGCACTCACAGCATTCATAGGGTTGTTCTCCTGCATGGAGTCTCAGATGTCTAATAAGGCTTGAGCGCCTACTGAGCTTTTTCCCACACTCAACGCATGTGTTATTTCTCTCTCCCATCAGGATTCTCTGCTGGGCCGTGGTTTCCTTGAGGCCTTTGTGAGTTCCCCGATAATTAACAGATTTACCAACTTTCTGCCTTGGCTGGTTTCCCTGCCACTTCTCTGGCCTGTACTGACTCTCAAAGGCTTTTCCCTGCTCACAGCTCCTGGACACACTCCCCTTGCATCTTTGCAATAATACCCCATGTGATTCCCCTTGCTCATCATCTTCCTGCTGAAGATTCTGCTCCATGGTCTTACTCACAATCCCATCACCTGCTGGGACAGAGAAAGAAAAACTGAAGAAACAGGAATGGAAAAGGCGAGAACAAACCAAGAAAACAGTTGGAGAAGGAAAAAAAATTAGACACTGAATTTCCCCAAACTCTTCCCCAAAGGGGCGAGAGGAGGTGATCAGTTCTGCAACCAGACCTCATCCAAACACTTAGGGGGAAGGGAGCTACTGCCAAGAGTTAGGATGGGTAGGAAGCCATGAACAGTATCTGCCCTGAGGATATGACACCCCTGGGGGCAATCTTGAACTCAGAGAGCTCACAAGGTTTTTGTTGGTAATCCAGCTGGTTCCTTCAGGCAATGACAGATTCTGAGTTGGTTTAATGATCCCGCACCTGTGCAGCTGCCTCTCAGGATTTCTCTTTCCTCTGAGCCCTGGAGATCTGGGGCCCTCGGCTCTTCCCCTCGTTCCAGCTGGGAGATGACATCAGATTTGGAAACTGGAAACCCTGCTCAGAGGAAAGACGACCAGTGAGATCAGTGAATTTATGGGACATTTGTCACACACCAAAAAAGTTCTTTTAACTCCAGCCCATTTTAAAGCAGTAGAATCCTGGAGCCAGCTCTCCAGGTGCTCAAAGGTGCAGGACACTCTTCTCATGAGGGATTTAACTGTGCCCATGTCTACTAGGAACACACGCAGCCAGATACTGATGATCAAAGGGGCTCCTAAAACCTAGAGCAGGCAATTCCATGTCCCAGCAAACGAAGACTCCAGTCAGAGAGGAAGTCCACCTGGAACTGCTTCTTACTTACAGAGAGAGGCCCAAAGATGCTGCAGGAGTGGGAAAGGCATGAGGCCTGACAGCTGAGGGGGGACACTCAGAGACGAGGAAGGGCACAGAAAGGCAGCTGATAATCACTATGATAGTGATAGCCCTGATAATCACTATGACCCCCATAATCCTTCCTCTAACTGCTCTCACCCTTCCCCACCTCCTGGGACCTGAGGAGCAACCACTCCTTGTGTTCCCTCCTTCCCTCCCATTGCCCACAACCCTCCTTGCTACCAGTCCTCCCAAATTCTCTGATATAGTACCTAGCTATAAAAAGGGAATAAGGACAGCCCTGGGAATTATAGACCAGTCAGTTTAATTTTGGTAACCGGAAAGAAAATGGACCAAATAATTTAAAAAATCAGTTTCTAAGCATCTTGAAGAAAATCAGGTGAGATGTAACTGTCAACATGGATTTGTCAAGAAGAAATCAGATCAAACCAACCTAATATCCTTTGACAGGGTAAAAAGTAGAGCCATGCATGGATACAAAAAGGTGTATCCGCATCCAATCCTGCAGATTGGATATCCACGGATACAAAGCGGATACCCATGGATTTGCAGGGCTCTAGTAACAAGCTTTTTGGATGTGGGGAAGCAGTAGTTGTTATATAACTTGACATCTGATACTGTCTCACATGACCTTCTCTTAAGCAAACTAGGGAAATATAGACTAGATGACCCTACAATAAGATGGATGCACAACTGGTTGGAAAACCATAGTCAGAGAGTAGATGTCAATAGTTCACAGCCAAGGTGGAACGGCATATTGAGTGGGGCCCCTCAGATCTCTGCTGGGTCGTCTATTCAGCCATTTTAATCCGGCCCTCGAGCTCCAGCTTCGGCACTCCAGCCAGGGAGCTGGGTCAGGGGCCACTCCACACGGCTCCCAGATGGAGCAGCATGGCCCTCTCTGGTGCTCCAGCTGGGGAGCAGGGTCTGTGACAGGTTAGGTCACAGAAACTCCCTCAAGACTGTCACTAGATGTGCTGGAATACCAATGAGAGCAAACCCCCCTGCTAGAGAAGGCTTCCCTCCACTCCCATCTTGCTGAGTTAGACACTCCAGTCAGCTACAGCACAAAGAGGTTGGGTCACGCCCCCCTGCAGTGCACAGAAACTAAGATTCACTTAGTCCAGGGGTTTCTCAGTTAACAGGGACTTTCCCAGCACCCAGTATTCAGTCTTTCTGGGAGCCTAAACCCCAAATGAATCTGTTCTACTCCGTATAAAGCTTATACAGGGTAAACTCATAAATTGTCCACCCTCTATAACACTGATAGAAGATATGCCCTCCTAGGTATTAATTCATAGAATCATAGAATATCAGAGTTGGAAGGGACCTCTGGAGGTCATCTAGTCCAACCCACTACCCAGAGCAGGACCAATCCCCAACTAAATCATCCCAGCCAGGGCTTTGTCAAGCCTGACCTTAAAAACTTTTAAGGAAGGGGATTCCACCACCTCCCTAGGTAACGCATTCCAGTGTTTCACCACCCTCCTAGTGAAAAAGTTTTTCCTAATATCCAACCTAAACCTCCCCCACTGCAACTTGAGACCATTACTCCTTGTCCTGTCATCTGCTATCACTGAGAATAGTCTAGAGCCATCCTCTTTGGATCCACCTTTCAGGTAGTTAAAAGCAGCTATCAAATCCCCCCTCATTCTTTTCTTCCGTAGACTAAACAATCCCAGTTCCCACAGCCTCTCCTCGTAAGTCATGTGTTCCAGACCCCTAATCATTTTTGTTGACCTTCGCTGGACTCTCTCCAATTTATCCACATCCTTCTTGTAGTGTGGGCCCCAAAACTGGACACAGTACTCCAGATGAGGCCTCATCAATGTCGAATAGAGGGGGACGATCACGTCCCTCGATCTGCTGGCAATGCCCCTACTTATACACCCCAAAATGCCATTGGCCTTCTTAGCAACAAGGGCACACTGCTGACTCATATCCAGCTTCTCGTCCACTGTCACCCCTAGGTCCTTCTCTGCAGAACTGCTGCCTAGCCATTCGGTCCCTAGTCTGTAGCGGTGCATTGGATTCTTCCGTCCTAAGTGCAGGACTCTGCACTTGTCCTTGTTGAACCTCATCAGATTTCTTTTGGCCCAATCCTCCAATTTGTCTAGGGCCCTCTGTATCGTATCCCTTCCCTCCAGCGTATCTACCACTCCTCCCGGTTTAGTGTCATCCACAAACTTGCTGAGGGTGCAATCCACACCATCCTCCAGATCATTAATGAAGATATTGAACAAAACCGGCCCCAGGACCGACCCTTGGGGCACTCTACTAGATACCGGCTGACAACTAGACATGGACCCATTGATCACTACCTGTTGAGCCCAACAATCTAGCCAACTTTCTACCCACCTTGTAGTGCATCCATCCAGCCCATACTTCTTTAACTTGCTGACAAGAATACTGTGGGAGACCGTGTCAAAAGCTTTGCTAAAGTCAAGGAATAACACGTCCACTGCTTTCCCTTCATCCACAGAACCAGTTATCTCATCATAGAAGGCAATTAGATTAGTCAGGCATGACTTGACCTTGGTGAATCCATGCTGACTGTTCCTGATCACTTTCCTCTCGTGTAAGTGCTTCAGGATTGATTCCTTGAGGACCTGCTCCATGAGTTTTCCGGGGACTGAGGTGAGGCTGACTGGCCTGTAGTTCCCAGGATCCTCCTTCTTCCCTTTTTTAAAGATGGCCACTACATTAGCCTTTTTCCAGTCGTCTGGGACTTCCCCTGATTGCCATGAGTTTTCAAAGATAATGGCCAATGGCTCTGCAATCACAGCCGCCAATTCCTTTAGCACTCTCGGATGCAGCGCATCCGGCCCCATGGACTTGTGCACGTCCAGCTTTTCTAAATAGTCCCGAACCACTTCTTTCTCCACAGAGGGCTGGCCATCTCTTCCCCATGTTGTGATGCCCAGCGCAGCAGTCTGGGAGCTGACCTTGTTCATGAAGACAGAGGCAAAAAAAGCATTGAGTACATTAGCTTTTTCCACATCCTCTGTCACTACTTGCCTCCCTCATTCAGTAAGGGGCCCATACTTTCCTTGGCTTTCTTCTTGTTGCCAACATACCTGAAGAAACCCTTCTTGTTACTCTTAAGATCTCTTGCTAGCTGCAGCTCCAGGTGCGATTTGGCCCTCCTGATTTCATTCCTTCATGCCCGAGCAACATTTTTATAGTCTTCCCTGGTCATTTGTCCAATCTTCCACTTCTTGTAAGCTTCTTTTTTGTGTTTAAGATCAGCAAGGATTTCACTGTGAAGCCAAGCTGGTCGCCTGCCATATTTACTATTCTTTCTACACATCGGGATGGTTTGTCCCTGTAACCTCAATAAGGATTCTTTAAAATACAGCCAGCTCTCCTGGACTCCTTTCCCCCTCATGTTATTCTCCCAGGGGATCCTGTCCATCAGTTCCCTGAGGTTGTCAAAGTCTGCTTTCCTGAAGTCCAGGGTCTGTATTCTGCTGCTTACCTTTCTTGAATTGACTTGAATTGAATTGACTTGAATTGTAGAAAGGGAGATTTAGGTTAGACATTAGTAAAAACTTTCAAACTGTCAGGGTAGTTAAACACTGGAACAAATTACCTAGGATGGTTGTGGAATCTCCATCATTGAAGGTTTTTAAGAACAGTTTGGAAAAACACCAGTAGAAGGTGGTCTAGATAATACTTAGTACTTACTTTGGGCTGTGAAATGGTTTTATAGGGTCTTAGATGACTCTCGCCTTTATACAGGCTCTCCTGGCTCTGCCCCCTTTAGTGTATGTCTACATTACACCAAGGAGCAAGACTTTCAGCCAGTGATGCTCGTGCTAGCTCATTAAAAATAGCTCTGTAGACATTGCAACTCAGGCCTGAGCTCAGGCTCCCAAGCCCACCCCGGTTTGCGAGAGCGAGCTCCAGCCCAATCTGCAACATCTACACAGTTATATATAGCCCTCCAGCACAAGTCTGGGGACCCAGGCTGGGAGGATCTCTCCCAAAGGCAATGTAGACATACCCATATTGTGCTCCTTCCTAGGCTTTGCTTTTTGCAAGCGTGATCCCCATGCTCCACCACTCTTGAGACAGGCCATTCTGGAGGTAACACCCCTTTGTGTTATGACGGCACTTCAGTGAGTCCCAGTGATTTCAGACTCCTCATAAACACTGTCTCTTTTGGGGTGCTGCAGCCAGTAGGTATTTGCAGCAACACAACAGAGCCTTTTCAGAACAAGACGGCACTGCTTAGGCAACTGGAACACAGGATTTACAGATCCCTTGGTCACTCTGGGAAAGCAAACCTGAACTCTACATTCATTTTGGCAGAGTAATCTGCCTGGTTTTTCCAAAGCCTTCTTGATTTCATCTCTCTCTCTCTGTCTCCTACTCTCAGTCTTTTTGCCCTGAATAGCAGCAAACTTAAAGCCCAGTCTGTTTGTACCCTAGCTCCTGCATCCCAAAGTGCAGTGCAGTTGTGTTCCCATGTTCTGCTTCCCTTGGACCCAGTCATTACACGTTAACCTCCAGTCTTTGAGACTTCCATTATCCAGTGTGCTTCATTCACATGTGGACAGTTCTTGATAGTGTATTCATGTAGATGGAGGCAGGCCTATGTTACTTCAACAGCAATTACGTCCCCATCCCAGAAGACCCCAATTATGTCCCCCACCCTT